TACCCTATACAAGTTCTATTTACAAGTCAAAAGCAAATTATGCTTGGAAGATCGTGAAAAAGTTGAAGACATTATAGGTCATTTCATACTTTTAGAAAATTTTGACTTATAATTATAGGTCATGGTGCCAACTTTACAAGCTCACAAATTTTTGCTCAAGTGTCCAAATTAAACCTTTATTTTCACATTGTACTCTATGTCATCCAAGGATCATTTTGCAAAAAATAATGAGGACCAAAGGTAAAGTGTACACAATTTCACAATGGTTTGAAGATGGCCCCATGGAATTGAATTTTGTCCCAAAACTGAAAATAGAGGTTCCCTAAAACTCAAATGGGACCCCATAAAAATTATTCAAACTTACTCCAAGTGTCAAAATGCAACTCATAGAATTGAAAAGGACTTGAAATAGTTGTGTTTTGGTGACCTCATGACCAAGAATGATCACACATTTCATGTACCCTTGACTCACATGCTTGGTAATCAAATTCACAAATATGAAGCTATCTCACTTAAACTATAAATAGAGCATTATATTCCTCTCAATTCCAAGCTTCAAAATCCCTTAAAAACTCTGCTTCAACTCAGAGTTTTCACCCAAATTTTATGAGATCATGTTTTTATTTTAAATCCTATCAACCTGATTTCTTGAGGCATTTAGCATCCTTTCCACCTCTTGAGGTTATTGCAACAAGAATCAAAGCCTGCAACTCAATGAATCGTCCTGACCATGTCTCTCTTTCTACCATTATGAGCATATTTGGACAAGGTAGTTAGAGGCACCATTTGCACTCAAATAAGTTCATATAATGTTGTTTGATGTTCACTGATGGTCATACTTACCTCAGTTTTCATTTATACTTTGTTTTCATCATTTAATTTTGATTTTTGATTTTGGTTTTACCACGATTTTCTGTAAAATTCTCTTGACACACTTTGAATAAATGAAAATGAATCATATGGTTGGATTCACATTGATGAAACGATCAAAATGATGGTGGTCTCGTCCCCTAACGTTTCCATTTGCCAAAACTCCAGTGACATTCCATCGGAGAAGATGGCCAGAGGAGCTTTGGTGGTGGCCTGAGTTTGTTTTATGTTTGGGTCAATCAGACGCGTCCATTTGTTTTAGTTTGGTGGTGTGTTGCAGTCACTTAAATTCCACCATACTCCAATGATAAAATACATCAGATGCGCTTACCTGGATAAGTCAACTTGGATCTGATGCCTTACATTATTTCTGATTAATTTTATTTTTCTTAATTTTGTTTTAAATTGTTTTTACTTTCTAAATCTATTTTAATTCATATTTTCAGTCAAAAAATTCACAAAAATATTTATGATTATTTTACACTTTGTGAATTTTGTTTCCAGAATTTTATATTTATTTTGATATTTTATTTTAATTTTCTCTTATTTCCTTTATTTTAATTGGTTTTAAAATAGTTTCATGCATTTTTAATTCCCCAAAATTTTCCTTAAAATATTTTGATTTGTTTATGATTTTTCTATATTTTTATTGTCATTTATTTGATGCTTTAATAATACTTTGATATTTTCTTCTTATTTTTCATTAAAAAAACCATTTTAAAAATCATTTTATGCTTTATTTTTTGCTTATTATTTCAATTTAAATTTGGTATATATTCTGGTGTCTTGGATCATGACTTAAGGGACTTAAAACTTCATCAATCTCAATGGACTTTGAGTGATATTTTGTTTGCATGAATTTTTATTAATTCAAACTTATTATTAAATAATTTTTAGTACTTTGAGTTAGTGATAGGTTTATTACATTGACACACCAAGAGAGGTGATTAATATTGAAGATATTTTGATATAATAATGTGACTTAATTTGGTTGAACTTTCTTCTTCATCTCTTTATTCTTCTTTTCCTTTTGATTAATTAGATGATGATGAATTCATCTTGCTCAATTAGGTTTGGATTGGTGTTTGATGAACTTTCATCATTTCAAATCTACGTCCAAGTGATAATTTTGATTACTTTAGGTACTTTGGATTGATGATAAACTAGTCTCAAAGTATCATGAAGGATTTCATTAATGTAATGATATCATCTCCTAGACTTTGCTCTTGATCACCTTGTTGGTTTTAAATTATGGCGTGCATTTATGCAATACACCTACATTATTTTGGTCCGACCTCAGATAGGTGCAACTTCTACATAAGTTCACTTACGGTAGCTTAACAAAGAGTCGAATTGTCCCGTATCGCAATATTAATTACAAATATTAATATTCTTAATGCTAACTTTATGTTTCCGCACTTTTACATTAATGCAATTTAAGTTCTCGCACTTTACTTTTATGTCATTTACATTTTAGCATTAACATTTCATTTTTATTTTATGTCATTTATTTTATGCTTGTTTTTTTCTTTTGCCCTTTGAGTATTTTATTTTTCTTTTCATTAAAAGACATTAATAAAGGTTGAAACCATTAAAAAGACTTGGCTCTTATCACTTGGACTGTTGGTTACTATCCATTGGTTAAAGAGTTGGACTTTTGAACTTAAGATAGATCATTAGCTTAGACTTTCATCTAATACCGTAAGTTTCATCTAGACCATTTATCTGATACTTTGAGTTGTTTCTCATCTCTGGTTTTGTCTGATTGTTTTGCTTTTCATCTGATGCAAGAACTGTTATATGATATCTTGGAGTTCATCTGATGTTTTGATTGTTATCTGATACCTTGGAGTTCATCTAATGCTCTGAGCTTTATCTGATACTTTGGACCTTATCTGATGTTTTTATAATTTATCGGCGTGTGTGAATATTCATCTGAGGATTAACTTGTTGCTTAATCCAAAGGAATGGAATGCTTTGCTTGACTTATGTCAGAAGCTTGCTCTATTTTGGTTAGTTCACATGCACACACAAAAGTTTTCTCTTGAGCTACCTTACAATGAAACCATTTCTTTCTCGTAATTACTTTTTATGCTTAGGATATTTTATTCGTCTCCTATCCTTATTTAATTTTCAAAACATTCTTCCTATTTCAAAAACTTTTTGTTTTCAAATTTGAAACCTCGTTCACAATAAACCTTGGCTTTATCAAGTGATTTTCAAAACCTTTTTCTTAATAAATGCTAAGACATCTTAAGTATATCAAAAGCATTTCAAAAGACTAAAAAAATACAAAACTCATTCAAATCCTTTGTGCACTTGTCCTTTTAATTTTTTTTAAAAGATTGGACATTAGTTGGTTCTTGAAGTGATGTAAACCACTATACTTCTACAATATGTTGTGAAGAGATTGACATTTTCCACTTGAATGTGGAGAATTCTCCTGTTGATTAAATTCAAGTGAATTCTCGATATCAAGATGATGCAAATGCTCCTTCCTCGTAATTGTGGGTAGTAACTGAGTTTTTACTCGAATACGACAACATGTCTTTTCATTAGAATCAACCAAAACAATTTTTTGTTATTTTGACCATAAATTACGAGATTTTGATTCTTCATTGCACATGGAGGATACGTAGGCACGAGACTCTTGAAGTCTTGCCAAACAAAAATCATAATAACAATTTTTTTCTCATTCCCTCAATCTTTTGCAAACAACACATTTTTATAACACACATTTTCATAGAGGTTCTTGCAGAGTACCGTAGATGTGAATGGTGCTAATATTTTCTTTTTGCATAATCAACCCCCGTATCCAACTCTCTCTTTTTATTAGTTTTGTTTTTTAAAAAAAAATCGGTTTTGTTCGATATTTTCCCTTTTCTTTTGAAAACAATAAAGTTCGATATCGACTCTTGTTTTTTTGAGATAAATTAATCAATAACTTAATCTTAAAAATTATGCCGCGACGGTAGAATACTTCCAAAAATATATTTTTAAAATTTGACAACATTTTTAAAAATTCATGCCGTACTCTTTAATATTATAGAATGTGTTAAGAAATTCTCTTACAACAAATTTGTTAGCCTCATTTTAAAAAATCCGAGACCAATCAAAATTAACCCGTTCAAGATTTGATAGCCCACAGTTCTAAATCTATCCCTCCCCAATGGAAAATCCTGAAAACGAGTCTCGTCGCATCACCACTATCAAAGTTTACATAATTTTCAATTTTGATAATAGAGTATTTGCTCAAGATGATCACATAAAGACTAATGCTTAATTAAACCATTCCTTATTTAAGTATAAGCTTACCTGAGAAAACTTGTCATTTTAATTTGTTTCTTATTAATTAATCTCAATATGTTAACACCGTCAAATTAAGTAGATGTCTCATAAATGAAAACCAAAAAATATTGCACCAGCCGGGAATCGAACCCGGGTCTGTACCGTGGCAGGGTACTATTCTACCACTAGACCACTGGTGCTTGATGGCTTATTACCAATACATTATCATAACGAATTTAATTTTCATGTTACTGTGATTAATTGATTATGCTTATTGGATCATATAAGATTGGACCAAAAAATGGTATAATTTTTTCATTCCAAAGTGCATTTTGAGAATCGTCTACAGATTTTTAAAAAGTGAGAAATAGGTATTGATTGAGCCCTTGGAATCATTGATCAATAATGTGACCGATGCACCTGATTTCAACATTTTTGTCCATTTCTTTGATTACCTTCTTGTGATTGTAATTCTGATATGATTGAACTTGACTTCTATTACATCATAAGATGAGCATATTCTGTCCCGTAAATAAAATAATTTGAATCTATACTATTGAGAGAATAGGATAGAATGAACAACTAACAAGTATTAACAACAAAACCAACTAACAAGTACATGAAACTAAATATAACAACTAACACAACTAAATTGAAACATCAATAGTAAGAAAAATATAAAACTTGTTGTTATAGAGCCTGAAATTTACATGATATATTACAGTAAAGAGTGAATGCACTCCCTCTTGCTATTTGTTTCTCTCAAGTGTTTTTTGAGAGATAAATAAATGTTATCATAGAAATAACATATTGTATGCAGCTGATGAAACAGAAATTTTCAACTACTTTCTTTGTGCACGGACTTTCTCGCCTCTTGCTCGTCTTGAAAACTCTTGGATCTTACGATCGTGGTCTTTCAGCATCTGATCCATGTTGTTTGAAGAAGCCAGTAATGGACCTGACATGTATATTTTGTTTCCACTCGATCCATGTCCATCCTGAAATAGAGCCTTACATCGTTATTCAGATATTCAGCATTACTCTTGTTTTTAAAATAGAAAAACAAGAAAGAAATAATAACTAACCGGAGTTGATTTTTCGGTTGGGACTCTTCTATTTACAATTTGACTGTGATCAGCAATCCGTTTTTTATCCCGTCTTCTTCTTGACTCCGACCCACTTGTCGCCTCGACGGATTTTCTTACTTCGATTGGTTTTCTGTGGGGAAAGGGAACTGGTTTTGGCTCCTGATCTTCAGACGACAAAGTCCTAGACGCTACTAGCCCAGATAGTTTTGATAGGTTAACTCTGTTTGGAACAGTAGGCCCATTATCAACTTCCTTCACGCCCCTTGCCCAGCCTGCTGAACCAGGAGCCAATGGACCCGAATGTGAAGGTCTCTTATAAAAATGGCCGGATACGTTATTTTCCATTTCTCTAGCATCTTCTGATTGTTTGTGTGGGAAGCCTGCAATCCCAGGCACATGTTCTCTATGCGGGTAGGACAGTTCGCTTCGGTTCTTTGAGAAGGAATAGTGTTTCTGCTGAGTAAGATAAAGTGAGAAGGAAAGAGATGAAAATTAAGGCGGTAGAAATAAGCACAAGTGAAAAGACGTAAATGAGCACTAGAATAGCTTAACTTAATATATATGGATTGGATTCGTTAACGTAATAATGTCTAAAGAGTTAGAAAAGTTGTATAAAATAAGGAATAGTCACTCTTCTCCGTGATTGAAAATAAGGATTACCTGTACCGATGCGCCCATGTCGGCGTTGTCTTTTGTTGAGACAACGGCCCTAGGTGCTTTTTCTTGTCTAACCGATGAGCCAACTTTTTGTTCCCTATCTCCAACAGCTCCTTGCCTAAGATTATGGGGAAAAAATTGATACATATAAGTCATCTTAAATAGTTCTTTTCTGCTTCAACATATAAAAATCAACCTAAATCAGGTACCTTCTGGTTGCTTCATCTCGCATTTTAGCATCAATCTCTTTGCTAGGAGGATATTTTGGTAAACTTGATGGATCACAAGGCAAAGGTTCTGATGTGAAGAACTGTCAAAAGAAAAGGAGAAAAATTCAAAATGCAAAATCACATGCTTCTCAGGAGTATTAGTGACTTTAACAGCAGGAAACATAGATCAAACCGAAGAAGGGCATAACTTAATCTTAATCAGATTATATAATTGCTTGTTTGAAGTATAAACCGAAACCAGCATACCTCACTTTTCAGAGCAGCAGCTGCCGTTCCTCGATTTGAGGGATCTACAGAAAGTAGGGTCTCTATAAGTTTAAGAGCAGTTGATGAGTATTCCTTAAACGTATCTGTAACACATCGTCTATAATGGTGTGGAGGCTTGAATACTGTTGAATGTGACAACCGCAACTTAAGCCAATAGTCCTCAGACGGTGAGCCGCAAAGTTTAAAAATCCGATGCAACTGCTCAACCTACAAGGAACTAAAATCAATTTTTAGATACCTCACACATTCATTCACCTACAATGCTAGTATTACTATTAGTATCATTTTATTGTTACAAAGTGATGGAAAGTAGATTCGTAATCATCATACCTCGGTTTTTCCTGGCAAAATGGGTCGGCCCGTATATAGTTCCCCCAGAATGCAACCAGTGCTCCATAAATCCACTGCAACCCCATAATGATTTGCTCCGAGTAAAAGCTCGGGCGGTCTGTACCACAGTGTTACCACGCGGCTTGTCAATGGAATATTGTGATGGGAGTCAAAAACATTCGCCAAACCAAAATCGGCAATCTTTAAAACACCATTGTTGTCAATGAGAAGATTTGATCCCTTTATGTCGCGATGAAGAACACCATGACTATGACAATGATCCAATCCACTAAGAAGTTGATGCATGTAGCATTTCAGCTGTCATACAAAACAAAAATGTTTTAGGGGTTTTCGTATAAAAATTTGCTTAAAGGGTGAAAATGAAAATTGTCCGAGTCACACAATGATTAATTTGACCATATCTCAAGTTCTCAACAGAGAAAATCGAATGAACCATTACTACCTGTGGTTCAGAGAATTTGATGGTAGGATTTGCTGCAAGTCCTGTTAAATCATGTTCCATATACTCAAAAACAAGGTACAAGCTGCGAGATGTTTCCGAGGTTATCAAACCCTCCAGTTTTATTATGTTTGGATGGTCGAGCCTACGCAAAATATGTATCTCTCTTGCCATAAACTTGACACTCTCGGGATCAAGGTTATCAAACCGCACCCTCTTCAATGCAACAATCTTCTGATTAGTTACGTCACGAGCCTTATAAACCGTACTATAAGTTCCCTGCCCAATCTGCATAACAGAATATCATAAAAACAGTTAAATCAATCATAAAGAACATCATAGAATTTTCAGCAAAAACAGAAAAGAACATTAAATAACATATTGAGTTTTAATTATAAGTCTAATTATATTGCACACACAAATAGAACAAAAAAAGCCAGCAACTTACTTTATGTAACCTCTCGAAAGTAGTTGCACTTCGCGGTATCCATCCTTTGATAGCCTCACCAGCAACAGAAGAAAGCCAGGCCGGCCATCCAGCCGCAACTTGTTCGGCTTCTATAGCCTTCGGAACCCTTCCAAATCCAGGATGATCGACATCAGTGAATTCATGCTTTTCAATTTTCTTCTTCCTCCCATTTTGATCATCATACAACTGCACTGATCCATTCGATCTCACTTTCACATCACCTCCACTTTCAACCCTCTTGGAAGAACTCAACCTCAAAACATTCAACTCTGAAGTTCTTGTGCTACTTGATTGCAATTTCTTTGAGGTACTTTCATTGCTGTCTTCTACAGCTGAACTCTTGGAACATATGCATCCCATGTTTCAACTATATGATATTACAATTCCAATATTACCCTTCAAGAGCAACAAAAGTTGTTCTAACAACCCAACCAAAACTCATGAACATAATCACACTAGTTTTATTCTCAATCCAAAAGCAAAGATTGGAACTTTTCTACCATGAATCCAATACTTGAAAATCCCAAACTGACCCAATTGAATTCTGAAGCAGAAAACAACAAACAAACATGAAAGTCAGATCCCAATACTAAAAGGAAACATTTTTCCAAGGAAGAAAATAAAGGGCATGAAATTCAAGTTATGGGGTGAAAATGAGAACACTTATAAAACATAGAATTAAATAAATAAAAATGAAAATAGAAAAAAGAAAATTACTTGGGAGACCTTAGAATTGGAATTAAGAGAAAAGAGAAAAGTGTGATGGAAAATTCAACGCGTATTAAGACATTAAAAAAAACATTATCATCAACCAGACAACAACCTTAGACGGCTTATGCCGGCTGGCTCAGTCAAAGGACACAACTCCCTCTTTCTCTCTCTCTCTCTAGTGCAAAATGATGGTGATTTTGTAGCCTGATTTTCTCTCTCTTCTTCTACCACGTTCTTCTGTCAAACAAACAACAATTGTGTTGGTTTTGTATTCAAACCTTCAAAGCTGGTCGTTGAGGTTCTGTTTGGAGGAGTACAAGGCTCAACATCAAACGCGTTTTTTTATTTTTTTTTTTATATTTTTTAATATAACATTTTTTATTTATAAATTGATATTTTTTGCGTGCAATTGTATAAATTAATTTTCAAGTTGGGAAAAACTACAATAAAGAATAAAGTTTGCAGAAACTAACCACGAATCAAAAAATACACTATAATAAATCAAAAAATTCTTTTCAAAATTTTTAACATTGCTACATAGTTAGGATTAAAGAAATTCTCATATTTTTGTTATATATATATATCCATGTTGAGTGAGAAAGTAATGGTGATATTTTTATTAATTAAAACTAATTAAAATATTAATTTTTTCTAGTTAGTTGGTTTGGGAAACAGTGGATTCTGTTCTATATATGTATACAAAAATACAATTTGGAATAAAATGAAATTTGGCATATCCTAAACATGCCAAAATGAAAGCAATTTTGAGCTTCCTTAGTAAGATGTGTGAAAGTAAATTAAGAAAGTACTTGCTAACAACTGTTTTAATTTTACATGAGGAACATTAATTATTCTACAAAAAAGGGAACATTGATTATTTTTCTTTTATATAAAGAAGAGTAGGAACATTACTTTTTCTGAATAAAGGAACATTTATTCGGTGTGTCTTAATATAATGAAGAAATTAACAACTGTCTTAACGTTCAATATCTTTTCATTTTATTTTATTAATGTTATTTCTATTTTTGAAAGCTCATGTTTATCTTAATGTTATAGTTTATTTTATTATTTTATTCGTGATATAATAAATATTTTATTGGTTTTTTATTTGTTCTTTTAAAAGTACTTTCATCAATAAATCTTAAACATAATATTTTTAAAAAATAATATTGCAAATTTAAGAACTAAGACATTATCAATATGATGATTTGTCATTGAAGGAAGTAATTAGTTAATCAAGACTTTAAATACGTGTGATTAATAACATAATTTTTTTTTTACAATCAATTTAATCTGATTTCAGATAAGTTCTAACATTAAATAATTTTAATCTCTTCTCAATTATAGTTACGATAGATCAAACAGTAATTTTTTCTATCTGATTTAATATCAATCATTATTATTAACTAACAATTTATTTTTTAATTTTAAACTTTAAAAGCATTTACATAATAAACGAGTAGTTCTGACAATCGGGTTTGTGGTACAAGGAGGATTAAAAGATATCATGTTCTCTCTAAACATATTTTTTTTAAAAACATATTAATATATTAATTTGAAGGGGTGTATCGAGTTGAATCTATATGAATAGTTTTAGATGATGACGTACAACTTGGTAGACCTCTTGAATCAGAAATGGCAGATGATGGTAACTTGTTCTGATGTTGAAGTTGGGATTTAAAAATAAATAAAAAATAACTGAATTTATTTATTTATTTAAATTATATATATCAAAAGTTTATAAATACCATCAATAACATAAAAATATTTATAATATTATAAATAACATAAAAATGAAATTTTAAACTATAACTCAATCTCCTAACCATTTGAAAAATATTATTCTAATTAATCGAATGTAAGTGAAAAATGTTTAAAACATAATATATAGACTAAATTATATTTATGATCTCAATCAGTCTCCTTATTAAATTATATAATAATTAAATTTTAATTGCGTCAATAAATCATTAAATTTTTAAATTTTTTAAAATTTTAAATTAATCAAATGATGTAGAAGATTCTGTACTATATTTGATATAAGACTCGTTTATCTATCTTATGAGTATTAAAAAGAGTTGTTAATATTTAACAAAAAAATTATAAATGATTTGTTAATTTAATTAATAATAATAAATATAAGAATAGTGTATATTATTTTCTAAAATTATTTTTTAAATTATTAGTCTCACAATTTTACTATTTTATTCTTTGAAATGCTCGTACCAATTTTCAAATTAGAGAAAATAAAATATATAGTTCTTATATATAAAATCATTAAAAGCATTTTATAAAAAATTTGTCAGTATCATAAACAATTTTAAGGATATTTAATATAAATAAAATGATAAATTAAAATTTTATGTTTTGAGAAGTGACTAGAGTAGCTGTCAAGTTAATTTTAGACTTTAGAATTTTTATGAATATAGAAAGTATATTTAAAGTAGTAGTAATAGCATTTGCTCATTTACCTAAAATATATGTAATAATGTCAAAAACCCATTAATAAAAAAATAAAATAAAAGTAGTAATTTCAATAGCCTATTTAATGATTAAAAATATGCAAGGAAAGTCATCATTAATTTGTAGAACATTACATAGAAATTGAAAAATGGAGGTCCCATTAAAGTTGAGGCCCTGTGCAAATGGTCTGTTTGCAGTCTCTTAATCGGCTCTGATGGTACATACAAACAGTCGAACACTTAGGTCACTTAGGTCAGTAAGCAAAGAAGAAATATGATAGGTATTAGCATAGAATTTGTGTACATTACACTCAAATTTATAGGATTTTTATAGTTGTCTTAGAGGGACAATATGAGCATTGATGGCCTCCAAGATTCTTGTCATTTTCGAAGGCATTATCTCCTCCCAGCCTTGAACTAAGTGTTGAGGATTGGTCTGTGGGCTAGTTTGGATCATGCAATGAGTTTGAAGTCCAAAATAATTTCTCCCAAGTTGTCTCTATAAGAAGGCAAATAATAAGGACTGGATTTTGATGGTCAAGAACTGAGGTTTGGCTCAAAATGATACACTCCTAGTCTGAGAGACTTATTATGAGAATTCCTTTAATGATTGAGTTTGTGCCAAGTTGGGATAATCTAGGTAGAAATCTTTTTAAAGGCGATATGAAATGAAAAGTCTTCAAGTTCTGGATAATTTTGGGAGAATTTTCGTATACACTTAGATGAGACAAAAAGTCTTTTGAGTTTTGAATTGTTTGTGGAGGACTCTCGTAGAGTCCAAGATGAGATGAAGAGTTTTAAATTCTGGATATTCAGAAAATAATTTTCATATAAGTCGAGATGAGACTAAAAGTCTGAGTTTTAGATAGTCTGCGGAGGATGATCGTAGAGGTCAAAGTGAGATAGATTCTTTGAGTTTTAGATAATGTGAGGCGGACTTTCTTAGAGTTCAAGATAAGACAAAGAACATTTGAGTTTTGTATAACCTGAGGAGGATCTTTCAAGAGGATTTCCATGGGATTCATCATTTGTTTGTGTCATGTTCATGATGAAGAGTTGTCAACTTAAGCGTTTTTCGATAATTACGACATGATCTTAGGTGTTTCAAAAGTTTGTCTTTTCGCCACATATCAAACGTAGTAGAGGTCATTGAGTTCATATGCACCTAGGCTTGCTTCAATTTTTTCCGAAGCCATTAGATCAATATTAGCTTTTTTGTTCTTGTTTATTTATTAATTCAATATATAAACTAACTTCTTTTTTTACACCTTTATTCATTTCTCATAATTCTATTGCACGTGGTTTTCTCATTTTCACTTTTTTTTTCTTTTGTGCTCGTTTCTTCTAGAGAGGTTTACATTTTGTGTTTGAAGAAACTTTTCATCACCTAACTTTTTATCACGATCTTCCTCAAGTGTATGCGTGATGCATTTTAATATTTTTGTTCACTATTATTTTTTTTAATTTATATACCTTTGATAATGAATGTTGGTTTCTACCACCATTAAGGGTGGTTTCTACTCGTGTTGATAGTTTCGGTTACCATGGATAATGTTTGATCCTATATTGTCCTTTTATGGGGAATCAGGTTTGGCCATATACTAGTGCCATTGTAGTGGTTGTTTATTCAGGACAATTATTTATCCAATGGTTGATCAAGCATAATGGATTTTGCATATATTTTTTTTTGTTCTCTTTTAAATTGAATGGTAGTGGAATGATGGGTTTAATAACATATAAAATTCATTTTAATACTTCTTTTTCTAGGTTAAGATTGGAAATAAAAGTTCACAAAACTTAGTTCCCTCTATGTATAAGGAAAAATATGTTTAGATTGGCAGAGAGTCACTGAGGACAAATTTAATCTTCTCGATATAGTCTAACCCTAAAGACACATTCATTGAGGGGAGAGTGGGGGATCAAAGAATTAGGATATGGTAATTACAGAGACAATATATTTGTAGTGAGTATAGTTGACTGAAATTCCTATGTATGAGGTTGTCTTTAAAAAGATGAGCGTTTAGACGCCTTTTGCCTCATTTGAGAAGGTGATATTCAAGTATCTAGAATTTGCTTTCTCCCTACTACACTTGAGTTCCATGGTTCACTTGAGATTCTCTGAGTTCATGAGTACTTATCTAAGCATTCTCCTCACATTATGCTATTCTTCCATGTCTTTAATTTGTTAAGGTTAGTGAGCTTCGTTGGTCAGTATAGCGGGGTCTATTTTTAAGCAACCATGGAAAGTCTTCGAGGGTTTATGGAGTCTTTATTTGAATCCAAGGACAAGAAATATATTATCCTCCTAAGTACGCATTCTACAAGGAAAATCGGGATGGAATAAATAAGGGTTGTTATAGAGGACGAGCGTTAGATGGTTGATATTGAAGAGAATACAATAATTGAGGATGTCCTTGAGTTTCCATGTTTTAGTTGAAAGAACATTTTAATAAGAATATTAAGGAGTTTATCTTAACCTATAAAGAGTTGACAACCTATGAGAGGTAGAACCTTTCTACCTTTGATTTTTTTATGGATACTCTTACCTCTTGCACCTACGTGGATAAATTGGGGAATGCCCTCATGGATTAGAGGGGGTCAACCTTTGAGTAATCCTAATTACATCGACACATATTCTCTTGCTCGATGTCACAATTATGTTGAGGTTGATAAATAACTTTGATAGTCATTGGTAAACATTTTTTATTGACTTGATATTAATTTTAGACTTGATTCTTCATTTTAGTGAAGGCTGAAAATACTTCTCTAGCTCACCGCATGAAAATACTATAATGCCTCCAGGTTCTAGAGATGTATCTCTGGATGCACCAAATGTTTACGGATGCCAAATATTCTGGAGATGTATATGCGTAAAACTTTCAGAGTTATATTTCTGGAACATTACAAAGCAAGAAGTATAAAAACATAATCGAAAAACAGTATGTTGACAAAATAAAATTAAAATTAATATCATAAAATCAACAATACATAATGGATTTTAACAAATATCAAACATTATATTTCAATATACAGTTGGACGTTGTAACATCTTGATAATACCATTGACTGATCTCGAAACAGTCACATCTAGCTCGATCAGAACTTTTGATTCTAAATGGAAAATGTTCCACATAGCCCTTAAATCAGCGACTGTCTTCAGCTCATAGTTGTTGAACTCAAGCTTCCATTCTTTGTCAATAGATGTCGAGCGGTACTCAATCTTTAAAATTTTGCGATTTGTGCCAAATGGTAGAAGCTCGTGCAATGTGTATTGCAGATTTTCAAGAGGGGTGGGATGTACTCATTGATCTTAAATTCTCTTAAGGGAGTAACATCGTTAAAGTGAACATTTCCAACATGCCAAATGATGTTCATTATGGTGTATTGTATTTTGGTATTAAACAAAATGATAAGTGATCTATATTTATAGTAGTGGTGGAATAATATGGACATCACAAATTTTATCTTCTACCAAGACACGTTCCATAAATGTATTTTCGGATCCACCCTTTATTTCGGAGATGTATTTGCAAAAACTTCCCTGGCAGAACATGACAGAAATACAATAGGACAAAACATGTATTCAATGCAGAATTGTTTTGGTAAACTTAACATGTATATATTAGACATCATAACACTTTAATACAATGTCACTTACAATAAATTTGTTCTAGAGTGGCCCAATGCCTAAATTTGGCCTAATCCACTTCTATATCCAGTATGGCCCTACGACTCTGACCCAATAACTCTAGCCCAGTCAACTGGGACAGGGAGGGGGAACCTTGCCTTATGCCCCTCAACCGAGGATGCTTGGTCGACTGTACCCCCATGAACAGTAGGACCAACGATACCCTGAACCATGCACATGCCCATGCCAATAGATATCCCTTGTTGTGCTCAACACACATGGAGCAGGAAACCGGGAACACATTTGACCGCGACTGCCCGTAGCCGCACCCTTGCTCGGAACAACAACTAGTTACGAGCATGGCTTCCCGTCCCAACGACTGGTTACGAGCATGTATTCCCGTCATAACGAATAGTTTCTAGCAGTTACCTATTTTTTCGAACCTGATATCTAGGCCCAAAAATAGGGACCAATGCCCAAGCGCCAGGGCATTATATAAACCCTCACACTTATGAGGACCAGGTATCAAATATTCACTCAAAAAACCCTAATTTCTCTTTTATCTCTTTGCACTCTTTCTTACTTGATCGTCAGAGTGTCTTGTAGGTACACCCCCTCCTCCTTATTACAAGCTTTACAAATGAAGATATCGGCCCCTTTTAGGTTGTGATCAACCGGTAAGGTCAGTGGCGCCATCTGTGGAAAACTGCCTTCCCCGTCTTCTTTTACCAAGAATAAACATCACCAGATTTCGATCATGACCGATTACGGGGACGACCATCTCACTGGCAAAACTATTCTCTCCCTCATTTGTAAAATTGAAAATGACGACAGATGCCCTCCCCTTGAGGACATCCCCGTAAAACGAGACGGGTGCACGGTGTCTCCCTCTTCTGTCGAGGCTGATGACAATGACATCCATTTCTTGGGAGTTGGAAATTCCAAGAAACCCCAAGAAGAAACATTGACGACTCCCTAGCCAGTTCCAGTGTCGGCCAATGCTGATCCAACCATCGCAACTCTCCTCGATGCCCTAAATAAAACCAATGACATGATCCTTAGTCATAACAACAGGATCAAGGCCTTGGAGAAGAAGCATTCAAGATCTCCTCCTTGGAGATATCGACGACACATGTCATGCAGTTCTTTACCGCAACCACGTGATCGTCAACCAGCGTGAGGGAGACCGGAGATTGTGCTCGACAGAAAACACAATCACTCACCTCCTCGAAGAGACCACCGATCCCCGAATAATACACGGGCCGAGCCGCAGTCAGACAATCATCATTCACCTCCTCCAAGGTCTAAGTTTATCCCGAGGATCCCATCTCCCAGGCGAGCTGATAGTCCATATCGAGGAAAGAATTACTCTCCTCCTCGGTCTAAGAGTTAGAGAGACATCGACGATGACCCTCACGACTTGTTTTCATGAGAAATCATGGAGACACCACTCCCTTCCAGGCTGGAGAAACCCCTCACCTAGGGACCTACGATATGGCCACTGACCCGGACGACCATCTCAAAAACATCGAAGCTTTGCTCAATTATCGAAGTGCCAAAGGCACCATAAAGTGCATAATGTTTCCCACCATGCTCAGGAAAAGAGATATGGCGTGGTACAAAAGTCTGCTCGAAAAATCCATCATGTCCTGGCGGAACCTCAAAAAGCAGTTTGCTAAGCATTTCACGGCTTCTTGTTGACACACGAAGTCAGAAGCATCGCTCGAAGAAATCATCCAAGGAAAAGATGAGTCCTTTTGGACGTATATTGAAGGGTTCAACAGTAAGGCCGTGTAGGTCTCCACCACTGATGACATGAAGAAATACCTACTCGAGCACAAGTTACACCCACGTGGCGACTTTGCCAAAGCGGTTGGAATTGAAACTCCCTCCTCCCTGGATGCCTTCTTCCTCAAGGCATAAGCATACATCCAGTACGAGGAGAAAGAAGCTTCTAACTCTGATAGGGACTCGAGGCACTAGGATAATTCCAAGGGTTTAAAGCATGACGACCCCTTGACATCTCGTCGGGGAGAAGAGAAGAGAAAGAAGGACGAAACCCGTGACTCACTGGACTACAAGTGACCTCCTGATCGTTTTCATGACTACACACCTCTTACCCTATCTTGAGAGCGCATCCTGGCCGACTGCATTAAATTGGAGTCATGCCAAGCATGAGTTCGGTTTGCAGATTCTACAAGATCCACGGGCACACAGCGGAAGACTGCATCCACTTGAAAGACGCCATTGAGATCCTCTTCTGAGATGGGAATCTCAAACAATACAAGAAGAATGATGGCCCCCCCAAGGATGCACCTGAGTCAAATAAAGTCGAGGAAGACAAACCTACCCCATAAAATATCAGCATGCCTGTCGTCATGTGCATTT